TTGCTTTAATCACTTCCTGTAAGTACATTCGTTTCCATTTACAGGTGTGAAAAATAGGAAGTTGTTAAGTGGTTAACCTCATACTAGTTACAGCAGTAGTAAACCCAAATCATTAGATGTGTGGCTGCATTAGTTTTCTATCTTTAGGCTCCCCCCCCCCCCCCCCCCCCCCCCCCCCCGTTTTCACCTGATCTGGCCAGTAACACCTCTTGTATTAGGGTGCTCCCACAGGATGAAAGAGCACAGGAGACACAGCAGTCAGCAGCACTGTCAAGTCTTGGGGGAGGGGAGTGTTCGATGTACCAGTATATTTAGGTACACTGACAATTGAAGCCAAACTGCAGTTCACACTTTGAAAGTAGGTACAGCAAACAGCGTTTTACCTTTTTGGATTAAGGTTTTACAAGCGGATTATAAGCACCCCTGTCCGTGGTAAATGGTTTGTCTCATGCCTGTATCTGCTTCATCTGCAGGACAGCTTATTTTGTTGAGAAAAGAAAAAAAAACCCCCACACAAAAACAGACTTACTGGGCAGATCACCAATGAAGCCTAAAAAAAGAAAACGGATGCAGCCGTCTAAAAACTGGTGATCTGCATTATAATAAATGCTTCCTTTTGGGTTTAACATCACGTTAAAACAGAAACCTTGTGTAATTGAGTCCAACAGAGTCTGCCCACAGCTCAGAGAGGGAACAGTACAGCTGATGGCGGAAGGCGCTCTATACCATGGCAGCCAATATATTTTCATCCTACAGGGACATGCTGAAGGGAAATTGTGGACACACACAGAAGCAAAAATGTAAAGGTCTACACAGTTCTTTGGAAACTAAAAAGGCATAAATAGGTTTTCACAGATAAATATTTTTTTCTGAAATGACAATGGGCTCTTAATACCATTTTGTTCATACAGATGTACAGCTCAATTCATTATGCTATAGGAATTATTTGCCATTAAAGAGCAACAAGGGAAAAAAAAAAAACAAAAAAAAAAACCCACAATCATGTAGCGGAAAATAACAATCTTTACGGCAATTAAAGTGTTTAGCTTAGTGAATTTATCCTAAAGATGAAGTTTGCTTTTAAAGCTCACAAGAAAAGAAAAAAAAAGTTTCCAAAATCATCTGAAAAAGAGAGAGGCCACATATGACCAGTAAATTTAGGGGGGAAACCCAATGCACCTCTTTGGATCAGTGAGGAATAAATACAGCCCCACCATCATATCACAGTGGACTTTTGTTCATTTGCCGCATGTTTAATTAGCAGGGCTAATCTCTCTGCAATGGCCGCAGCATCTTAACAACAAGATGAAGAATGAAACGTTCCATTGTTGGATCGGGAAGGGGTGAGGGGGGGGGGGTGGTAATACGCCTTGTAGACAAAGTCACAAGTCAGTCACCACATAGCTCAAAAGGAAAACTGCAAAGAGTTTTTTCTTTTCCGAAGCCTTTCTCCAGCCTACATCTAGGCTGAGAGATGGTAAAAGTATACAAAATAATCCTTTATGACACCAATCCAGCTTGTGAACGGAGTAGGTGCTGGGGCTAGCAGACATGTTATAAGATGTGGTCCATTATCAGCAGGACAACAAGTTGGAGGCACCTGGTCTAGACTATGGTACCAACTCTGCCTTGTGTAGCTTTAAAGGTTGCTCACACAAACAATAGTCCATGATAGGACAGATCAGAATGTTATGCCATCTCCAGGTTTATACCATGGAAAAGTTTCCATGGTTAAACTCTTCAGTTTAAAGACAGCAAGAACAAAAAGCTGGAAATTTAAAAAAAAAAAAAAAAAAAAGGAACTGTCCCTTTCATCTTAAATACCTGCTGTATAGTAATGTTGATCACATGACCAGATGCCAAGGTGCCAAGGTGCCGTCACATGGTCTGTGGCCACAGAGGAATGGTGGATGGATGTTTAGAGACAGCCAATCAGCTCTAAATATAGGATCCCCCCCTTCAAAAACAGACCCATGCAATGCTCCTGTTTTTGATAATGAAGGTTTCAAGAAAAGGCACGTGTATAGAGTCACCTTCAGTGACCGTTGCTCTGTCACTGAAGGAGACACTGTGCATTACAGATTACAGGAACATGTAATTCGGCAAGGGTCCAAGAGTTGATAAAAAAAAAAAAGTTAAAGTAGGAGTCTACACACAACTTTTTGGTGTTCGATAGAGCTGAAAAAAAAAAAAACCTATGGCAGGTTTTTCTTGTGACCTATGTCCCCAATGGGCAGAATTATCCTCACTTCCTAGTTTGGTGACTGCGGTCACATGGAGCAGGACATTAAAAGGGAAATACAGACACCAATAACTATAATACACTAGAATAGGAAGGGTTAGACTGTCGGGTTTACTTTCTTTTTTGTGTTCTAGGGAGACTTCTTTAAGAGAAGTACCATCTAAAATCACAGCAAACTGACCACTCTGGGTGCACCTGAATTCTTTGACAGAACGCAGCCTTGCAATTCAAAAAACCAAATAAGGTTCGCAATGACCATCAGAACTTCCAAAATAGAGACTTTGAGGCTACTGGCGTCTGATCATTTGTATAAAATGTGCAGCCACAATCCATATCGTCAAACCCAGACGTAGATCCAAGTACTGTCAAAAATAAAAAAATGGAGTCTCAATCTTTCCTGTGTGGTTTTTTACATAACAATGCAGCAAGACGAGAGAGATGAAGGCAGTCCCAATTAAAAAGCTGCAAAGTTAAGGATCCCACCACAGCCTGAATATTTGGTGGACCAATCCTTGCAAAATACCTTCGGCAAGAGCCTTTGGAAGACATCCACCCTTCATAGTAACCTACAACTGCTTACTAGAAAAAAGACCTACCAAAACAAAAAGACCTACCAAAACAAAAAGACCTACCAAAACAAAAAGACCTACCAAAACAAAAAGACCTACCAAAACAAAAAGACCTACCAAAACAAAAAGACCTACCAAAACAAAAAGACCTACCAAAACAAAAAGACCTACCAAAACAAAAAGACCTACCAAAACAAAAAGACCTACCAAAACAAAAAGACCTACCAAAACAAAAAGACCTACCAAAACAAAAAGACCTACCAAAACAAAAAGACCTACCAAAACAAAAAGACCTACCAAAACAATCTACCAAACCATTCTGCTGCAACATCAATCTTAAAGGGAGTTTGAGGAGCAAAGTCCAAAACAGTTCTTGATGTCCCAACAAACCAGGTGAAGGTTTTCCTTTGACTTTCACTTTGCTGTAACCATCATCTCCATTCCAAAGTGCCTTAAGAAGATAAGACCAGTTAAGGAACAAGTTATTGGAGGTTTTGTTATTCCATGATTGAGCGTTCATGAGGAAATCCATTGCATGTAAAGAAGGTTGTAAAGCCATAGACATTGCAGAGTGCAGGGAGGTCGATAGGAACACAGCTGATAAGATTACGGAGCTCCATTGAATAAAGTGACACAGTTCACGCCACGTGGCGACTTTATGAGTATAGACACAGATAACGCAGAACAAAACAGATTTTTTCTACTCTAACCCTTTGATAACTTTGAGAGGTTTTCACATGTTGAGAAATATTGTTTGTTGCGGCAGATCACGCAGGTCTTCCATGTACGGAAACTGTGCATATAATAGGAGCAATTCAAAAGGAATACATGATGGTTGCTTAGTAGGTGCCAGTAGAGTTACATAAATAACGTCCTTTGTTGAAGCATGTCTGGACCATTGTCTCATACATGGGCAGTTACTTAAAAATGAACTTCGGGAATGAAGATCAATCTACTGTTGCAGTGGTCACCCTGCACTTCAACAGCTAATTGCTTGTTTATAGGCTACGGATACAGAGATAAAAAGGTGTATTACCTACCCTCTAGCCTCTGTGCTCTTCAAGTGCTGTGTTTTTGGCAATCATTCAACCTCCCCACAAAGTGCAGAGCTTATAAACTGAGCATTTGCCTGCGGCAGAGAGCACCTTAAAGTGGAATTTCACTCTCTCAATCAGCATTGACTATTAACAGCCTTAGTAAATAGATAGGAAAGTAGATCATTTTCTTGTTTTAAACTTTTTTTTTACATTTTTTCAGTTACTTCCTGGTTTCCATGCCTAGGCAAATGATGTCATACATCCCAGGAGTCTTTAGGGGGGAAGGGGAGGGTTCTTAGCCCAGCCAATGACTGAGCTGAAGGCAGATGGATTCCGGGAGGTAAACGCTACATGAATCATCTGCCCTTACTCAAAATGGCCACTGCCAGAAATGCCAGGGGGTGTTTTTCAAAATGATTTCTCAGCAAAATAAAGCATGGAGACATGGATGGATGGGGGAGTTTGCTTTGAATATTAATGAATGAAATAGTATTTTTAGTTTGTGGTGCTCAAATGCGGAGCAGTTCCAATTTAAAGAGGCGGCAACACTGGACAGGTCACATGAATGGAGAAAGCCTGCTGGAGCTAGGAGTGAGGCAAGTATTAGACCTTATCCCTGCAACCTGACTAAACAAGCACGGTTCTTGGTGTGCGGGAAGGTCCCACTGCATGCGTATATTTTGTTCAATTCCCCAGCTTTAAAAGGAGGCCCATCATGATAGAAACATGAAGGCTGCCATCATGCTGAAAAAGTTAGCTGTTTGCCACATGTGCCCAATGGCAATACGCAAATCACTCAACTGGAATAGGCATACGAATAACAAATTCAGACTTCTCTCCACGCTTGTTCTGGGTCTGTAACTTAAGTAGTGAAGCCAATCGTGGCCCAACTAGCATTTTCAGGACAGAAAAGGCAGCCTACACATTTTCCTCCTTACCCACGTACGTACTCTTAAAAGGTATACCTGCTCTCAGAAAAAGGGACAAGAATTTTGTATTGCTAGTTTATGAAAAGAAGAGAAGCATTCGGAGTGTAAAAACCTAAGCCCAGAATCTCCAGATGTCAGGCTTGCACAGGAAGCCCATATTCCTGCAGCTAAGACACATAGAAGCCCCCTGAGCAAGGGCTTAAGAGTCCAATCAGTCCACACATTAATCCTGCTTGACCTCTCCCTTCAATTCCCTCTTTACACGGGAGTATGGGCTGAGTGTATCGTCCATTATGAAGTCATAGAGAACTTTTACCCAGGAGGTGTACTGTGGGAGGGGGTCGTAATATTCTGACGCTATCTTCCGCACCTACAGAGAGGAGAAAAAAAAAAAGGACAAGGTGACATTGTAAGAACAAACATGTACTAAAGTGGCTATAAAGATCACAGCAATACAAACAGGACACATACTCTGTGTGCTCCCAGCTGCACAATACAAAGACTTGGACTGAACAAGAAAGAGCTGCAATTGTCAGCAGAATAAACTTTTATACACCAGCTTAGTTGAGAATGCTTGTTGGGTTCCACTTGCTGTGTGTCCAAGCTGGGGAGATTCACTCCATTTATTCTGGTGACCACTGCTACTGAGAAATAGAAGTGAGTGAAACTCCTTAAGTTTCTAGTCATCACCAGAACAGGACAAAAAGCATAAAATCTTCCAATGTGGACACCTGTTCTGGTGAGAACAGTCTAAGAAAGGAGTTTGTGGACAGATTCCCTCTCACTTCCTGCTGTATCTACCTTCCCATTGGATATGGATGGAGAAAAATTATACAAGTTATATAGTGTACTAGAAGCCTGGTGGACCAAGCAAGAAATTAAAATCTACCTGTCCCCTTACTTCAAGGCCTTGTGTGAGGGCGAAAAACCCTCCCCAGATGCGTTCCAAGCACATCTCTCTATGATCGGGAAATCTGTGTCTGACGCCCATGACCCCCAGGCCTTCCATCCAATTTCTGTTGGAGGACATGATGCGAGTGTTCAGGATTTTGCCCAGAAGTTTCAACAGGTATTTACACCAACTGATGAATCAATGTACCATACCCGGGTTCCTCCTCGCCGGACATCTTCAAGGTGTTAGACACCCTCTCTTGGGGCTACCTTAGATATGTGTTACATCGGTGGGGCTTTGGGGACTCTTTGACCTGGCTATCGGCTCTGTATTCCACCCCGGGTCCACAGTACGTTACACAGGTTTCTCAGCTGCCCCTTCCTCCATTGCCCGTGGAACCAGTCAGGGGTGCCCGCTCTCCCCAGCCCTTTTCATCTTAGCCCTGGAACCCTTGGTGGTAGCCCTTCACGCTGACCCCAACATCACAGGGAATCCCTATGCTGGGGTATCCTACAAACTGAATCTGTTTGCAGACGATGACCTCCTGACCCTGTCCAACCCTATCACCATGCTTCCTAATCTACACACCTTACTCTCCACTTTCGCAGCCATCTGCTGCCTCCAAATCAACCCCCAGAAAATAGCCTTGAACGTCTCCCTTCCCAATTCCATGGTTTCCCCTTATCACTGGGCAACCATATCCCCAAACTACCTTGGCATTCGCCTAACCCCTTCCTACTTCTCCCTCTTTGCGGCCAACTATTACCCCCTTCTGCGCACTCTCTCCTCCCTCTTGACATTCCCCCTCTGTTGTGGATAGGGCGGACCAATGCGATCAAGATAACGGTGCTCCCTAAACTCCTCTACTTCTTTCGGACTCTTCCAATTACAGTCCCAGCCTTCTTGCGTTCCCTCCAGAATAAGATCCTGGTCTTTATTTGGGCCCACAAACGACCCGGAGTGGCCCGCACCACTCTTCATACTCACAGATTAGGAGGGGGTCCTGGGGTTCCAAATGTGGCTTAATGCCATCTGGTGGCCCAAATCTCGCAACTTGCAATGTTGCACACTACCTTAGACATTCCCCCTGTGGGTGCTTCTGGAAATCCCCACTTGTGCCCATCCCGGTTTCTGCCCTCCTCTGGCTTCCTCCGCCTCCCATCCTCCCCCCCCCCCCCCTTATGGCTTACAGCCTACGCCTTTGGGATTTGGTACGTTACTCAGCTAAATTTGATGTCCCCCTTTCTCCTGCTACCCCCCTTCTAAACAATCCTCTGTTCCCCCTGGATTAGATCAACCCCACGCCTTTGCCTGGTAGCCAGCCCACGGATATGCTCAAGTACGACACTTCCTAAATTCCCGCTCCTTTCCTTCTTGGGCCTCCATCTGGAGACCCATGAGGCCCCTCCAGTTGAATTGTACAGATATCTTCAGCTCCCTCAATGGATCTCTCTCTCTCCGCCACAACTCTTTCCCATTTCAGAAAACGGCCTTTGAGCACATCTTTCTGCACTCTCCCGGTGCCCGAGGCACAATTTCCTCTATTTATGCCTCCCTATCTGCGGCAAATTCACACTGTCCTCACCCATACATCTCCAAATGGGAACATGATCTCACAACCTTTATAGATAGAGCTAGAAGATTGGAACAAAGTCTGGTCTGCTGTAGCCAAATGCTCGTTTATCACAGCCACTATGCAGACGGCTCACAAAGTTCTCCTCTGCTGGTATTGGGTCCCGGCTTGCATTGCTCACTCACTCATGTGGCAATAGATGTTTTAGGGGCTGTGGCCTACGTGGGGGATGAGATCCATATATGGTGGTCCTGCCCCTACCTGGTGGGTTTCTAGTCCCAAGTCTTTGGCCTCCTCTCAAACCTATGTCACACTTCCTTCCGCAGAGACCATCAACATGCACTACTCCACGGCCCACTCCTCTGCCTTTTGTCCCATCAGCAAAAACTGACCACATACCTCTTCATAGCCCCCCTCTTAGCAGCAGTGAGATTCTGAATCTCAACCAACACTACCCCCACCACACACACATCGAACATATGTTGTTAGCCACTGACATGGAAGAAGCATGCACTGAGCACAGTCTGCAAAAGGTTCCATGCATCTTCCAACATAATAACTCATCAGGATGTATTTCTGCAAACTACCTTTAAATACTAGACTACAATACAATGGCGGCTCCTATTTTTGCCATCGTATGATCCCTTTAACCCATTCACTGCCACTAGCCGACCAACTGACCTGCATTCCTCCTCTGCTATAAGCTCACGGTCATTTCAGTGACCATGAACTTAAAGCACAATTGTTCAGCAGACTCTGCTGAACAAACAGTTAGCTCCAGTTAGCAGTTAACAAGTCGCTGATCAGAGATATGCAGCTAAAATGTGACCCCCCCGCTGATTACCAAGCGGCTTCTCTCATCTCCAGCCTTGATCACCCTTACACCTCCACCGATTCGACCAGATCTCCTTTGGCTACCCTGCAGCCACCGGCTTTAACAAAACCCTGAAAGCTGTAAAATGTAACAATAACCTCAGATTTTTTTTGAGTAAATTGTGCTTAGTTACAGTTTTCCGCACCTACAGTTTATCATTTCACAAAAAAAAAGCAATTCAAAATTTACAAATATTTGTTATGTACTAACTCAATACAGTTTAACATTTATATCTAGTAGGAATTATGCTAATTTTTACATTATGTATCCACTAATAGTATATTTATAGTGAAAATAGCACTTTGATGAACATTTGGGCAACTATTTGTAGGGCTTAAAAAAAAAAAAAAAAAAAAAAAAAAAACACAGTAGCACATTTTATTTTATAGGTCTTTTGCTTTCAGAAAATATGGTTTGGGGGGTCTTTTACAAACTGAAAACTGTAAGGGAAAAATAAAGCAACGGAAAAATTGCAAAAATGGCCTGATCAACAGAGTTTAAAAGTGGAGAGCAGGGCCTGGCAGCAAATGGGTTAAGCTAGAAGTCCAGACTTTCACATGTGGCAGAACAGTGATGTGGACCTCTGCATAGCCATTCATTTGCAGGGAAAAAAAAAAAAAAAAAAAAAAAAAAAAAACCCACACGACATGAAAATCTTTGGGGCCTTTCCCCACATAAATGCGATGTGCCTCTAGTCTTCCTGCAAATGCATTTTGCACAACATGTTAAAATGGTGAGTCCAACCAAATCTGAAGTTTCATTATAAGTGGTAGCTGGTAAGCTGAATATATCAGGTCACCTTTTAGGTCTTGTGGACTCAGCACGGATCTTCCTCACCATGGTTTCTCCCTGACCTGGGAGCTTTGGGCTTGCCACCTTAAAGTATATCAAAAGCCACATTTTCTCTTCAATTTTGGCTAGAGGAAGATATTGTGTGTTTTCTGCCATCTATGTCTCATTAGGGATATTTTTTCAACAAGAACTGGGATATATCTTTCTAATGTGAGGGAAATTCCCTCAGGCAGTTGTTAGAGGAACAAGTGTCCTCATTGGAAGAGGTCACCTCTATTCCAGTTTTGGTGACAACTCAATATTTTAGATTTCCCCTCATTTTCAGCAACATTGGTGATCAGGAAAGTTAGAGTGAATCTCTATCAGTGGCAAGAACTATAAAAAAACCTGATAGGAGATATAGATTTTTTGTTCTGCCTTAGGGCCCATTAGGTGCAAACCAAGTAAAATTCTGGCTTATTTCTGTGTCGGGAAATCTCAGGAACTAAAGGTCCTTCATTTTTTTTTTTTTTTTTTTTGTATTTACAACAAAACAAAAACACCCTTTACTCAGGGGTGTTCAGAAAACACCCATCACACAGGGGCTACCACAACCACTTATCTCACGCAAAAAAAGGCAAAAAGGAAAAGAACTTACTAGTGGCAGGTTCCTTCCGGGAACACTGGGAAAGTCATGGTGCTCATTGTGGTAGCCAACATTAAAAGTTAGGTAGTTTAAAGGTCCATAGTAGGAGTAGGTCTCATGTCCCTTCAGAAACATGTAGTGCTCGGCAATAAAGTGTCCTGAAATTGGATGAAGTCCAAGACCAAGTATGGAGCCCACCAGCATGTACACCACTGATTTAATCCCAAAGTAGTAGTAAACTATAGCATCAAAAGAAAACTGAATCACCAAGTTGATTAATTCCAGGCGGGAGACAGGTTTGGGGTTGATACAGATGGGCCTAATGGTATAGAAAAGTGGTTGTAGGATGATCCACACAAGCTTTCGCAGAGAGGTACAGAAAAACCAGCCTTCAAAGTCAGTGGGAATGTCAACGTCAATGCCATCCCCTCCCAGGTAGCGATGATGATCCATATGGTACCTCTTGAAGGAGATAGAGTAAGGGAGGCCAAGAGGCAAATTAGCAAACATTCCGAAGCACCGGTTCCACATGGCTTTGCTGTTTCCGAAGGCACAATTGTGAGAAATCTCATGGATGGCCAAGGTCATGGAGTGGCTGATGCAGCTTCCTACCACGTATGTCCAGAACATAAGCCACTTCCATTCCAGGTCCTTCACCAGGTAAAAAGCTATAAACTGTGTGAGCACCATCAGTGACACAATCCATATCAGGTTGGAATCTGGTTTCATGAGCCTCTTTATTTCAGGATACTTTGCTAGAAGGGGAAAAAAAGAAAGTTAGGCTGTAGTGTTTTGTCAGTATATTTGTCTTGACACAAATATAAAACCCAAAAAAAAGGAAACTGTTAGTGAGGCTCTTCCTTTCTGAAAGTACAACTAAAAACAAGTAATCAGTATAATGAGGTCATTATAGGGGCTATTTTATATTTATTAGGCTTCATGTACACGAGCAGCTCCTAAACTCGAGTTTAGGATCTTTTGGCATTTTTTTGCCATCGCTCCTAAACCCAACTCCATAAAAACCTGTGTGTCCATGTACACATAGGCTTTTAACAGAGTTTAGGAGCTGCAGCGTTTAGGTGAGGTTAAATATCCCTCTCCTGAACACGGAGGAATCGTGTTCAGGATAGGAACGCTTTGACCACCGTCAGCAGGAAACCTTAACATCTGTCACGACTGCAGCAAAATTGCGGTAACGCAGTTCCCACGTTTTCCCGCAGCCGGCAGCCAGGGTGGGCTCATGTACATGGAGCCTTAGGAGGTATACCAACAAGTTTTGTATTTTTAGAGGATGGGGGTTCTTCCATAACCACTTCTATTCAGCATTTTTTTTTGTTTTTTTTGTTTACAGCTATGAAAAGGCTCAGAACGTCTTAAAAACACAGCATTATTTTCTAAAAATACAGGCAGTCCCCAATTTACGAAGACAGGTTCTGCAGGTTTGTTAAGTTGAATTAGTATACAAGTTAGAACAGGAACATTTGCCAAAAATATATTTTTAAGTTTTGGGTAGCATAGGGAAGGGTTAACTGGCCATGCAGTGATGTGGGACTGCAGACAGGTCCACTGGATAGTAGGAGGCAGCATGTGGTGAACAGCAAGATGGCCACTCGGCGGTCTCTGGGACCAGCATGACATCACGCTGCCTTCATTTTTAAGTATGAGTTGGATGTCTAACTCCGGGACTGCCTGTAGGAAAAAAAAACAAAAACAAAACCTAATGATATAGTTAAGTCGCATAAGTCATCTTGCAAGATGCAAGTTAATAAACTATTTTTCCAATGTTATGTAACTGATTTCTAGGCTTGTAAAAATGCTATCCAGCTGTCAAATCAAGACTGACGCCTTAGGAAATGCCCGCCAGATTATCACATAAAAACAGACATTCCCTGTTAGATGTCACCTTTTGAAACTCCTATGCGCACACACACTTTTTGGTGAAAAAAGCAATCAATTATGTATAGCGTAAAAAGTGATCAAATTACAAATAACTATAGAGTTTTTTTAAAATGTACAAATTACATCCATTTCAGGTGTGAAAAACGTTGTAGAGGATGGCGTCTAAACTGTTCACCCAAAGAAAGTGATCTGTGCTTGCTATACTTCACAGTGTGGCTGCTATCGATTGCATATGCTGAGAACATGAACAAGCTCCTGTGCCGTTTGTGCATCCGATGGGGACAAGAAGCCGGCAGGACTTTAGAGCGGTGTCTTGTTTTCTTTCCTCTTTATGTAATAAATACGATGTTTGAAATGTTTTGCTAGGTTACAGTTTCAGAATATGAATAATTCAATTTCCCTCATTCTACATCCATTGTGTTTCAATTGTAAAAACAATTCCATGCTAATGGAAGGTGAGAGAGAAGAATGAGTCGACCGTTTAAAGATCTCATTTCTATGGCTCCAGTGCCTGACTCAAGAGGGACAATCCACAAGACATGTTCAACCTGCTATGGTCCCCTCGAGTAATAAGCAGTTCACCCCCCCCCCCCCCCCCCCCCCCCCCCAAGCAGGAACAAAAATATGCAGTTGCCACATTTCGTCACCGGATAGGCAGCAGTGGAGCTGGAGTGTGGTCAGGTTATGTAAGCACAGTGAAGAGTGAATACAGCCACATACATTCTGTGTGTCCCTTATCAGAAAAAAACAGCAGAACCATCTCTGACAACATGAACAGACACGTACACACCGCACTGAGCAAGACGTACTGCATTGAGATGGAACTCGTACAAAATGACAGCATGGCCTGCCAAGTACAGCTTGGTTATGCTCTAGAGCAGTTCTCAACTTTTTTACCCCCCAGAGGAACCACGAAAAAAAAAAAAAAAAAAAAAAAAAAAAGAAGTTCACATCTCGGGGAACCTGGTTTTGCCAACTAGCGTTGGCCCTGGAGATATGTAGGCACCATTAGTTGAGGTCTCCTAATTAATGGTTGTCATTGCACGAGGTATAGGGGGTCTATGGTCAATGACATCACAAAAAGGGAGCAGCGCATAACATTCAGTGTATGTAGACAGAACAGTCAAGACTGCAGACATACTGGAGCACGGGTGTCAAACTGACGGCCCTCCAGCTGTTGCCAAACTACAAGTCCCATGACGCCTTGCAAGATTGACAATTACAAGCATGACTCCCAAAGGCATGATGGGACTTGTAGTTTCTCAATAGTTGGTGGGCCGCCAGTTTGATACCCTGTACTAGAGGAAACTAGAGGAAAGGATGGTCACAGAATAGAGTCCTGCAGCAAAAAATAGTGAGGTTGCATTAACACATCACTGTTTTGTGAATGCATTTATGAACCGAACAAAAACAGTGTCATGCTTGTGGTGCCATTCACTGTAACTGACACCCCAAACGAAACAAAGGCATGAACTAACTTGCTGTGTTTTATTGCGTTCATTGAAATAAACAGGCTGCTTTACGCTACGCAGAAAAAAAAAAAAACAAACAAAATAAGGGCATGTGTGCGATGCCTGTCATTGCGCATCATAGTGTGATGGGGCCTAAGACTGGGGACATGTTGCATGAAGCTAATAGAAATCACCACTATTACCCCATTCACAAATCAATGCTTCCACTACAGACTGCTGGGGTCCAAGGCACCAAAGGGCTATTGTGGCCCTCGGGCTGCAGATTGGGCACCAGGGTAAAGAATATAACAAACTGAGATAGAAGCCATTCTTTGCATTTCTCTAAATCACCTCTAATTCTCTAAACCAGTGGTCTCCAAAATGTGGCTTGAGGGTCAGATGTGGCCCTTTACTTGCCTTTATCTGGTCCTTGGAACACCCTTCCCCCACTGGTGCAAGAGACGTTTCCTCCCACTGACACCAAAAATGGTACACTATTCCTCCTAATATCAAAGATGTCGCTTGTAGGCCGTTGTTTACTCCCACTGACTAGAACAATTTCTACTCCCACTGGCCACAGTCTGGCCCCCCTAAAGTGTGAAGGACAGTAAACTGGCCCCCTCTTTAGAACGTTGGAGACCCCTGCTCTAAACCATCTATGTGTGTACAGACACCAGAGAACACCACAATGAATAGCTATACACAAAGACTAACGTCGCTTGTGGGCCCTTGTTTAAACAGGCAGAAAATGTACACCCTCAATGCAAAGTGTCTGCAGGTAAGGTCAACACCATCTCCTCCCCCCACCATCCTAAGACGGGATATTGTACCACTAAAGGAGGCCAATCCAACTGGGTTGCATCCCACCTCTATGGGTACTGTGCCTTTTTTTAAAAAAAAAAATTTTTTTTTATAATATATCTATTCAGTCTTTAAGTTATGTAAAATTTGTTTATTTTTTTAAAATGCATCCATTAGATTTGTCTACACTTGTTGAATCTTATAGTTTTGGTTTGCTCCCAGTGCTTCCTGTAATAAGGTGACAACAGCATCCACTGGCTCATGATGTCGTGGGTAGCGTTGTCACCCTGCTGGGCATGTTCCAGCAATATGGGCAGCATAGGGGCTAAATGGTTAGCACTTTCACCTGGCAGTACTAGGGTCGTTGGTTTGAATCCCAACCACGGCACCACCTGCCTGGAGTTTGCATGTTCTCCCTGTGCAGGTTTCTTCTGGGAACTCTGGTTTCCTCCCACATTCCAAAGACATGCTGGTAGGTTAATTGGCTTCTCTCTAAATTGTCCCTAGCATAAGTATGAATGTGAGTTAGGCACCTTTAATTGTACACCCCTTGAGTGTTAGGGACTGATGTGAATGTACAATATATGTGTAAAGAGCTGCGTAAATTGATGGCGCTATAGAAGTACCTGAAATAAATAAAAAGGACGACGACAGCAAACAGTCCCTTTATATGGAGCGCTTAACAAGGTCCTTCTCTGCCATTTACTGCTCTGTGTCACAGGCAGCCATACCTGCTGAGCATTCCAGAAGAGTGATTAGCAGAGTTGCAATCAAGAAGTCATGACAATACCAGCTCCTGTGTACTGCTGTGGCTTTGTCCTGCCCATAGCCCTGACCCTGCCAAGCGAAAAAAAGCAGTAAATCATGTGACTGCTATCAAAGAAAACCGTTTTAATAGGAGGAAGTTAACATGCAATTTAATACAATCATTTTATTTTCTAAAATAGAATGGGAGGAGTTCAGATTTGTCAGACTTATTTCTGCATTTGACCATGAGATCTTCCCTCCCTTCCTGTCTGTGTCCCCCATATAAGAACAGGATAGGGGGTGCAGGTGTCACCAGGATGGAGAGGCTCAGACAGCAATAAAAAACATTGCTAAAAGTTCCCTCGTCCCCCCCCACTCTTAAAAGTTTTTTGCCCATTTCCCTGCTCTAGAGATGACCCATCACATTCTATCCTGACAGGAAGGGAGGTAAAACATCCTAAAAGTGACAGAGACCGCAACAAAAACCTGACAGAGGCTTGACCTTCTCCATTCTAACCAAAATATTTTATCTGGAGTTATCCTTTAATCACTTGGATTAGCAATTGAATTTAGTTGAACTTTTTACAAGAACATCCCAGCAACTTTAAGGCTGCTTTCAAACTGATCCGTCACAAAAAAAAAAAAAAAAAAAAAAAAAAAAAACCACCACACGTGTTCTTGCCATGTCTTTACCACATTCGAGGGGTTTTTTTTTTTTTTTTTTTTTTTTTTTTTTTTTTACAAACACACACACACACAGGACATGTGACTCAAAACCCACACCAAAAACACTATGCAGGTACAGCTTCCATTGATGTCAATGGGGTTGTGCGTTTTTTTTTTTTTTTAAACACATC